GTCGAGTTGTGCTGTATTCACTGTGGCAATTGGGTAACTGCACTGAGGAAGAAGATCACGAATACCCACACATTTGACCTATAACGTCAGTGCCAGCTGATCATCATTTATGAGCAAAATGGAGTGTTAAAGTTCAGCTAAGTTTCTTCACATAAGTGAGGATGTTAATTAACGTGAAGTTAATTCAATACAGTGCCTCAGTGGCGTACGCAGAATTTTTTCAAGGGAGGTGTTCATAATTTTCTGAAACTACTAAAAGAAATTCGAGTCTGTAATAAAGCACTATTATTTCACTAATTTAGGCAGCTAAACAATTTTGACTTTTTATTTAGACAACATTGGTTAGTTAAATTTTGATTTGATTTTTTAAGTTTAAGAACATAATGTAATATCTTCTCGCATGTAATATCTTCTGAAAAAAGTCCAATGTCATATGGGTGGGAAGTAACACTTTGAGGGCCACTTTCACATTCATCAGATTTTGTTATGCTAGAAACGTTTTCTTCAACGGAAGTATCACATTTCTGTACAACAGAAAAACTTACATTGGTACTAGATGCTGTCACCTCACTAATTTCAGATCGTGATTTTTTCTCAAAATAATTAAAAATTGCTAAATTCTTGTGTTAAAAATTGTTAAATCCTAAAGATCCAAGAACAGCAAATATATATATATATTGGCACAGAAATATCCGCTATGCTACGATCTCAAAGTTTCGAGCTGGAATGAATAACTTCAACGAGCACAGTATCTCCAATGGTATTGTTACTGATTTCTTCACTAGTCGAAATAGTGGCGACGACGGGTTCGGCGATTGAATGAACTTTTTGTTGAGATAAATCAAAACAGATTTAGCGACAAGCTCCGAAAGACAAGCGGCAGAGATAACTCTTAGTCTGACTAACTAACTCCACTGTACTCCGTTCCCCCTTTTATATAATTTTTCACCGCATCTCCAAAATTCTCGAATTGTCTCAAAGACGACAGAACGTCTAGGATTCCAGAATCATCGCGTAAAGACCTCGCGAATGACAGCCAGTCTCGAAAACTGTACTGGCAGAACAGAAAGGAACCAGTCCGTAACAGTATCACGTGAATTTGGTTTCAAAAGTACAACCCTATTATAGTAAATGTTTTTTTTCTCAGTATTCTGAGAAATACCATGAGAAAAAAAAAAGTAGGCAAATAAAAATATATAGTCTTAAAAAATAATAGTTCGCACAATTTCTACTAAAATTTTTATTTTTGACATTTTGTCTGAGCTCAAGGGGGGTGTTTAAACCCCTAAACCCCTCCCTTGCGTATGCCACTGCAGTGCCTTATAACACATCGAATTTAGTGAAATATAATTCTTTCTCGTGCATGTCTTTTGCTCCCCTTAGATTTATTATTTCTTTATGTAGTTTATTGTAACAGTTATAGATTTTTGTTTTATGTACCTGGCCACTTCTCTGCATAATCAGTTTATGTTCCACACCGGTTCATGCCTGTCTTTGTGTTAAGTAAGAAATATATAGTGAAATAATTTAAATCTTTGTAAAAGAATCTTTGCATAAGAATACAGAAAGTGTCACTTAAGAAAACTGATAATTGTTAGGTTTGGCTTACTCGAAATAGAATGAAAAGAACAGTTGCTAACGTAAACAAATGCCACTTCTCAACAACCAATCAGGATCGAGATATCCACACTACGTCATTTGCAGGCATCCCACTGAACCATTCTAGATTTGATTTCCCGATATTATGGCTTAAATTGGACGGGAATATAACACAAAATTAAAATTGAAGCAAATACTTAAGAATATTATTCCTCGTAATACCGATATTAAGACTCAACATTGAACCATAATATCGGTTGTTTGTATCGGGTGCTGTTGTTATCGGTATCATTGTTGATTTTTCAGAAAGAGTATAAATCACCCAAAGAAAAAACGTTTGAGAGACTGGGTCTGTGTTTTATTATGTTACCCTCACCACGTTTAGCATGACATTCATTAACCTAAAATTTTGTCTTCAAATATTGCTGATCCAATAATGAACACAATAAAATCACTATAAGAACCACTTTTTTATTTATGCAGGGATGTATGCTTGACATTTTAATGTCGAACTATTACTATTGTTGAACTATTTGTGTAGAACTACAACTTGCTTTGAGGAGAACTTCCTCAGACTAAAAGTCTGAGGCTGTCTGCTGCTATAGTAACAAGCGAGAGCACATTTCTAATAGGGGGTGCAATAGAGGAACAAAGGTGTCGATTGGAATACTCTCACCGATCTATGCCAAAATTAAGATAAAACTATTCACCACACACCCCTATTTGAAGTGATTTTTCCTCGTAACTATAGTAACCGCCACGACGCGAGACTGATGTCAGGAGAAGTTCTCCTGAAAGTCGCACTATAGACGGGTGTTATTTTTTTTTTAATATTATTTTTACGAAAAAAAAAATTTTTCCACAATTTTTTGGCTCTTATAAGTTTAGTTCACATTAAAAAACGTAGCAAACTCACATTATTCTTATTTCAAATGCCCTAAATGAAGTAAATTCATTTCTAGCCTTATGGGAATTAGCTGGAGGCACTGCCGGGTTTTTGGACAGTTTTTTTTCGTTTTAAAAAGTAAAAGCTTCTAAATTTTATTTTTTCCATTCATCATTCTTATATGCACGTTTTGTTTAATCTCTAACTTGTGCATATACGAATCTGAGTTTCTTAGTCTTCTCTACTTGATTGTATGATGTTGCGATTTAAAATTATCAAATCCATTCCAAACAATCAAATAATTTTTTTTAAATAAATTTTCTGTCGAAAAATTCCTTCGTTACATTCACTCAAATCCTTTTATTACAAATTAAACAAAATGTTAAATATTTCAATTAAAAATTGAATATTTTATCAAAAGTTTTTCTAAACGAACAATTTAAAAATAGCTTGAAAACATTTTAAAAATAGCATTTAGTACGTCTTATATATCCCGCATAATTTGTTAATGAACTATTTAAAAATTAAAAATGCTTGATTTTCCCTCAACTTTTAAAAATCCCTCTATTTTCCACATTATATATATTGCTTACTACCTTAATTTACATAGAAAACAATAAATTTTAAATTTATTGAAAATACTTTGTTAAAAACTATAATTTTTTATATTTATCTATAAATAACTTATGCCATAAAAATATGGTTACGCATTTCTTTCTGAAGATTTATACAAAATTCATTTTAATGAATTAAAAATTATATTCTTTTATCTCCTTGGGGTAATCAAGACAATCCATGGAGGTACAAATATTGTAGTTAACAAAGAAGATTTTTGTATGATGCGTTCGGTGTTTTCAAAATGCATTTAAAAAAAAAATCTTTCGTTTATTTAACATTTTTTAATTATTTCTCCACACTTTAATTTTCATATTTAAATACAGTTTTTATTGTTTATTCATCAGAATTTTTTTGCGAAGGTTTTTCCTCTTGCGCTAAATAATAATTAAAATGCTATTTTGAAAAATCGAAAGAATAGACTGAAAAGAAAATGAAATCTCGATGTAAAACTTTCGATTGAAGACCTATAATTAACTAATTTATACACAGATCATCGTAACATTTGAAGCAATAAGAAGAAAAAAAGCAGCTTCTAATCAATGAAACAAAACTTCCTTATTTAGCTAATTGGGAAACATATAGCGCTGCGCTGTTTAAGAGAGTATCAGTTAAATAACGTAGTGAAAGAAAATTATGTCAACAATTATAACATTTTTCATCAAACGCGTCTGAAGCTTTCCCTGTAATTACTTCAAGTAAATTTGACTAGATCATACAAGAAAAGAATATTTAAGATGGGAAGTAAGACCTGGCTACCCGGAAGTCCCACGACGGAAGTGGAAGTTTCTATGGTTACCGGGGAGAACCTTACCTTGCTGCTGCATCCCCGTTCAAATTCACGCAGACGCAATAAGCATTTTAGATACTTCTCAGTTTTACCGGAACCTCAAAAATAAATTTGTTTTCTAAAATCCACAGCTAGATTTATCAGAAATGAGAAAGTACCTTAACGATTTCCCGCGCATTTTTGTAAATATCGTCTGCTTTGTTATGACATCTTCAAGTGCGAGAGAGGGTACGAGTCGGTCACAGGTAGACATCTGAGTTATTTTGATATCGAATGATTGTTAATTTTAGAAGGATGACAGCTGGACTGGTATCCATGCGTTCTCAACGACCCCATCGAAGATGTTGCCTAGAAACCACCTAGGATTAGAGTTATGTGAGTCCTCGAACATTGGTTTGGAACGTTGAACTTTCCTTTCATTGAGAAAATTTGTTCTATTTTAGTTCACAATTGATAAGTATTTTGGACAGTTCGTAAACTAGAATGATATGAAAGCTATTTTAGCCGTCTTAATGAAAAGATATTTCAATGGTCTCTTATAACTTATTTCAGCACTTTTTAAAAACGATTGAAGAAACAGAGTATTTTGTTGTTATACCTATCAAGTTTTTCATAAATTGTTTCAAATTTGTAAGGTATCGAATTAATCTACGCCATATCAATATATTATATAGTCTTAATTAGCTCCAATTTCATTGTGTAATATTTAGGAAGGAGATATAAGTCAATGAATCATTTTTCAAGAATAGGTTCGTTTGAAGTGCAAGCGATTTCTTAAAAGATTTCGTGGAACAAATTTGTTTTGTAAAAAACGTCAATTGCTTGTTTACATAAGATTTGTTTTCAGAAAATCTATTAATCATTCTACAAAATAACTTTTGTTTACCGCAAAGATATTTCAATTATTCTTAAGCAACGTCATGAACTTCCTTTGAAAACAAATCAATATCATCAAAGTTGCGAAATTTTTTTATTGATTGTCACTGGCAAAGAATAGATTTTTTATTTTATTTTAGTTAAAAATTCATACTCAATCGAAAAGAAATACAGCTATTTATTATACTTGAATAATTACAAATAATTCCAATTTTACAACTAGCACAATTAAACTAATACTAACATAATCATTTACTAATAGTTGTAAAAATTATACATAATCATCTTCAGAGATAACAGTGTGATAATGGATTCCTACAGAAAGCGCCACCATTCTTTTAAAGAAACCCACAGTTCACCTGGCCAACCAGTTAGAAGATTTTCTGTATGGTAAGTGTACATCAGTATCTTTTTATTTATTATCTTTTTTCTACGAGTTTTCAATTGGTCAAAAATCGTGGTCTGATGTAGCGCGCTACAAGTAGTGAAGCTATTCTCTACTCTATTATAGTCACTATTTTCTTTCGTAGTTTGTAGCGCAGTGAGCTACTTTTTTTTTAAAAAAAAAAGTAGTGTAGTGTGTAGTGCAATATGAAAAAACAGTAGTTTGTAGCTATTCCTGGCTACTACTTTTAATGCCAGTTTAATACAGAAAAAAAAAGGTTCTAAAGCAGCAATTTTTTAGAATTTCATGGGTACAAATCTTCGCGAGTTCGTCATGGGTGCGATGAACATGCTCCCTACAGCTGCGACTGAGTGTTAATATGAATAACTTATTTAGAATCACTTATTTAGAATTATTTACGTTGAATTAAGTAAAACTAACATTTAAATTAGCTATTATGAAGAAAAGATAATCTATCACTTTGGTCATTCTTTCAGATGCAAATGTTCATTCGTGAAGCATTGATGTTATTTCAAAGGAAGGGAACCCATTTTCGATGTTATTTAATTTCTTTGAGGAAACAAAAGAGCATTAAAACACTTAAAAAAATTAAATTTTTTCAATGTTTTCTATCATTTCTAAATTAAAAAGTCGCTCTCGAAAAGGGTATAAGAAGCTGAAGGTTAAATGATCATTTTTGAAACAAAAGTGTTTTAGAAAAACAATCTGGTTCATGTAAACGAGAGAAATATCTCTTAATAATTCCTCAGGTTTAATATAAGCCAATTTTTTACTCAAAAACATTTTGAACATAAGTGTAAATTAAGTTCTCTACCAAATTACGCGTCTCTTTAAAGTAAGGAAGTAGTTACTATATTTGAAAGTAGTTTATAGTTACTAAATTTTAAGAAAAGTTGCTTCAGCAGTAGGTATTTTTATTTCATATTTGTAATAAAGTAGTTGTTGTAAATTATAAAAATTCTGCAGTTATTTCGGTCACTGGTCAAAAAGTGAATGAACTTCAAATTATGTATTTTGTAATGGTAGATTCTAAATAAGTAATGGGAAAGATAACTGATAACCATTCAAAATAGCTCATCTTAAGTTGTTATCGTTAAATCCAGGGTTGGCAAATAGAAAAAAGTTTTTACTTCGTAGTAATACAAAGTCTCACTTTTCATAAGTCACCCTAACCTGATTTGATGAGTTGAAACACCAGTTTCTGCCTCATCCATCATATTTTTCAAGCTTGTTCCATACTGAATATCCCATCCCTAAATATTTAATTTTTTTTATTTTAGAAATTTAACGCTTTATCAAAGAAAAGGCTGTCAAAACAATTTTTTTTTCTAATTTATTGGCACTGAGTCTTTTTTAAAAAAATAAACTATTAGAGTTTTTCAAATTAGTTTTTTTTAAAAATGTATTGCCTCTATTTTATTTTTGGAAAATGAATTCTCTGTCAAACACGAGACTGGAGGCGAGAATTCNATTTTTTTTATTTTAGAAATTTAACGCTTTATCAAAGAAAAGGCTGTCAAAACAATTTTTTTTTCTAATTTATTGGCACTAAGTCTTTTTTAAAAAAATAAACTATTAGAGTTTTTCAAATTAGTTTTTTTTAAAAATGTATTGCCTTTATTTTATTTTTGGAAAAGGAATTCTCTGTCAAACACGAGACTGGAGACGAGAATTCCTTTTAATTTATGGTTATTGAAGCATTTTTGAAGAATTAATTTCAAGAAGCTGATGAAACAGTTTTTTACTTTCTTTTATCAAGGCTCTAAGCTGTTTAGAGAAATAAACGTTTTGTCAAACATGAGTCTTCCACAAAAAATATTTTAAATTTATTTTTTCTTCTTTTTATCAAGGCTCTGAGACGCTTTTAGAGAATAAACCTTATGCCAGACAAGAGTCTTTTAAAAAAATATTTTTAATTTTCTGACTATAAATCAGAGGTATTCCATACAGCTGGAATACAAATGGTTTTTGATCGAAAGTATATTATTATAAATGAAGAATATATTTCGATGAAGTGTGTTACAAACATTTTGTGTGTGCTTTAAGCCTAATAAATTACTTCCTTACTATATATATATATATGCATGTATGTGTGTGTGTGGGGGTGTGTAATTTGCCTATTACAAAATGCATATCAATGAGAGTTCTATTTATATTAAACAGCGTGATAGAATGATTAATTTAAACCTGCTTTTCTGTAATTTTAAAATATATCTGAATTATTTTGAAAGTTTTCACAACTCATTATGCTTGTAATTTGATAATTCTTAAATTGAGAAAGTTTTTTTTCTTCAATAAAATTTAACGTATCTAAAATAGTATTTGAATAATAAATCTTTCCCAGGCAGTCCTTTAGAAATTTCAAAATTTTTAAAGATTTTATCTGTCTTCAAGAAATACCACTTGAAGTACATTATGTTATGTTTTCTGTACAGAATTAAATTAATAATCGGTTATCAGCATTTTTACCAAAAAAAATAAAAAATAAATAAGTCCCAAAAAAACCGAAAATGCCTTATAAAATTTTTTTAACGTGATTTCGAAAAAATGCTTTTTTTGTGTGATAATTGCGGATTGCAAAAAAACTACTCAATAGACTTTGATTGCGCTCTAGAAATTCGTAGAGAATTAATGTCATTATTGTTGGAGCCAACGAAAATTGTACCTTTTCCAAAATTTAAATTTTATGTACAATTAAATGCCAAAAAAGTCGACTTTTGTTATCTTTTTTCAAATGGACACCACTTTTAAGACATTTTTCAGATTTTTTTTTTTTTGGTTCTAACCATGGCTATACTCATATATAACCGTTAGTTTTTTGTCCCGTTTCAGATTATACGTTATGGAGATCGAGCAACGTCCACTTATCAGTGCTCAGCGTGCACTGCCATCACCGTCATTTTTAAATTTAAATTTATTTTATTTAATTAAATTTTAATTTACTTCGAGCTAGAAAAAAATTCTGAAAGGGTCGTGGTGGCTCAGGGGATATAGCGTCTCCCTAACAAATGCGGTGAAACGGGTTCGAATCCCAGCGGTAGCTGGTCGATACAAATTCTACACCCGGTTCGCACCGACCACAGTGCTCGCGTTAAGTATCCTCAGTGGTATACAATCACGGGCAAGAGTCCCCTTGCCACTAGGCTAACCGTGGGAGGTTTCCGTGGTTTTCCTCAACATGTAACGCAAATACCAGGATTGGGATTCTTCTCAATTGAGTTCAAAATTACAAAGCTACGGAGTTGAAAATTAGTGGTAGTTAACCCAAAATTGGATCGACTGCTCAAAGACGGTCCTAAAAAAAAAAGATAAAATGTAACTGAATAGGTGACGAAATGAAACAAGGAAATCCATTATATAACTTATCCTTTTAACTGACTGACAAAAATTTTCAAAATAAGACATAAATCGGACGGCCTCATGACAAGAAAACTCGTTGGTTCATTTTTCATTCAATATATCGCTCATTTTTCATTGCCAAGAGCGTGTTTATTCATGAACATTAATAGACTGCCGTTCAGAACTTCTCACTCGTCAACGGATTATCATTGCGAACGAAAATAATTTTTTAAAAGAATGCATTTCCATTTGAACTTTAAAATTAAATATTTAATTTCTCTATTTTATCTAGTGATTGAAATTCTAAGATTAAAATCCCAAACTATTAAATTAAATTATTTATGGAAACTGAAAACAATTAGAAAAAAGTATTAATTTTGGGTCATTATTACAACATGTTTTAGAACATTACTGTTAGTTCTGTCAATATTATTTCCTGTTGATTAAAAAATAACGTCGACATTGAAATCACAACGTATCCGCTTCAAACAAGGAGAAACAAAACAGAACAAATAACCAGCTTAGATTTTTTAAATAAAATTATACTTCAGAAGGCACGCCATAGCCAGTTAACAGTGTAAGATTGATCTTAAAGTCAGCAATAACCTTTATCACAAGGCCCAACAAGGATTATAAATGATTAGCAAATAAACCAGGGAAGCTTGAAACAATGTTAAATTTAACTATGTTAGTTACCGCGCTATGAGGTTCGCATTAAGCTTGCATAAACTAACCTTTAATATCGAGGTTGAGTCTGCCTTTACAAAACAATGCTAGAAAAACCTTTTGAAATCGAGAATGAATAATCATCCGCAAATCAAGAGTAGAAAGCGTTTTCAAACTGAGGATAAATTCACCTTCTCAAAGTTTACTTTAGATTTTATGACTATCTCTGAATCAAGATTTATTTACGCTGGCTTTTATATATATATTCTTTAACATTTTAAAAGTGAGTGCTGAGTGTTTGCCTGATCATTAAGTTCTCAAGACCAACAAAATGCTGCATTTGAGAGTCAGGCGAAAGCAAAAATTTAAAAAAAAGAAAGGAAAAAGCAAGTTTGCAGTAAAAGTTAGGAAATAATATTATTTTGGAAAGTTTTTTGATTCCCTTTATTCAACCTTTAAGAAAGCAAGCTTGGCATGTTTAAAAAAGGATTAGCTACTCAATCTTTCTATGCCAACCAAGTGAAAATGAAAATACAACGTTTTCAGTAAGGTTGCCTTCTATCTGATTGTGAACCAGAAATAAGGACATTCATAATTAGGACAAATATGACGTGCTGATTTTGAATGATATCCTGAACATATTGAATTTTAAAACGTTTGCTAGGATATCTTCTGAAAACAATTCATGAAATTTGTTAATATAGATAAATTTTTTTGTAAAATGAAATTAAATTTTTTGATTGGTAAATGAATTATTTCTTATGAATTATTTCCTTTATTGCCACAACCACAATAAAGTAGATCTAAAGTCTCCACTTCAACAAAATACTAGAAAATGTTTAAAAGAGACATTAGTAGTCAAATATGGGATTTTTTTCGATTTGTGAAAAAGTAAAAAATAAGTCGGTTTAAAAATTTACTTGAATTTTATAAACTGCAATTTATGCCTAAAATAAATCAAAATTTATTTCGAACATAA